ACTTTTTTTCTTATTTCAACACATAACATCAATATGCACTGACATTTTAAAAAGTAGTGTCAAAACGCTGATTTGACATTTGACACTGTTCTGTTGACTTACGTTCCAATAGTTGGTTTGAACGTAAATAATTCATTGTGAAGAAGAATATCTTTTGTTTCATGAGCTTAATTCAATGTGAAAATTAAAATATAGGGTAGTCGGATAACTTACAATGAAACGGCACGTCAATTTATGTTATCATATTTATTATAATTATAATTATTATTATTATTATTATTATTATTATTATTATTATTATTATTATTGTTTATTATTATTATTATTATTATTATTATTTATTATTATTATTGTCGTTGTTGTTGTTTTTATTGTGTTGAAAAGTTAACACAAACAGTACATAAATAGGTTAATGAAGGCGATATGGAGTAAACGAACAGACAATTATTTTTATCCCCGACGAAATGTACTCGTCTTCCTCGACGGGTGTGTGTGTGGGGGTACAACGCTTCTTCTTTCCCTCAGCCCACCCCCCCCCCTCCTTTCTGGCGCCACAACTAAGCATGAGGGCATTATACCCCTGGACAGGTCGTCAGGTCAAACATTTTAAAAATAATTTATTAATAATTTGCCTATCCAAATAACGTTATTTCCATTGTCAATCCCTAGTATTGTGGTCTTAATGCATAATCTGGGACATACTAAGCTATAAAAAAAAAAAAAAAAAAAAACTTTCACCATGAACCTTACCAAGGATTTTTTATTCTGGGACCCGGACCGGTGCTCTTGTCGGCCCATTGGTTGGGACCCCTTTGTCGGACAGGTCGGACTCCTTGATGGCAAATTTCTGAAGGCACCAATGGGCATACTCAGTACCCTTCATTTCCACGAAATCAACTTGTATTTTATACGTCCATGGTTGTAGAGTAGCCTAACCATGCCTATACAAAGCTGACTGTTTTCTACTTGGGCCTATCTAAAATCTTATCTTGATGTTTTTGTTAAGCCCCCTAATTACAAAGCAATCCGCCAATTTAATCCGCTAATTAATGCCATAGATCAGTGAGACCGCTTACACTAAACAATCCCAAAAATATCAAGATAAACTACTGTTTTTTGTACCGCTTGCTTCTTGATTGAGATTATTTTATGAGAACGTTTTTACACTACAGTAATTAAATTGTTAAAAACTGATAATGACAGACCGCTTGATGCGATATCCAATGGTGTTGCTATAATGCCATGTATAATACCAGATGATTTTAAAAGAACTGTCTTACCGGTATTTGTTTTATCGTGAATTTGTATAGCCCTACTAGTACCCATATGCCAACTGTCGAACATTCAACGGATTAAAGATCGATTTTCAAATGCTTTCCAAATTAAGAATTATTAGAGGGGGGAGGGCATAGGGAGTGAATTTGACAGATGGAGGGTCTATACCACCTCAGCCGCACCATGGTTGGGGCTGATGTGTGAAAATTTACGATTATGGCACCTCTGGATGGCCGGAAATGGCACTCTTAGACTTAAAATTTGAAATGAATTTTCTTTTTAATCCATTTTTTTCCCAATTTTGAAATATTTAAGTGAGCCTGGTTACATCCGCCATTGGACCAAGTTGTAATGTTCCTGCTTTTTGTGCTGTACACCCTTGCGGTTCCAACCCGGCTAGCGTGGGTTTTGATTGGAGTCGATTCGCTCTGCTCCTCCCTCATCGAATACGGTAACCCTCGCATGAGAATTAGGCGGGATAAGTGACGATGTACTACCGTACCGGTACCCGTTTTATGTCGGTACTGGCGTTGCACTGTGGCTGCCGCGGTACCCAGGGGCCCAGCCAAAATGTCCAATTTCCAATTTGAATTTGGATTGGGCAAATTTTTTTAATTTAATTTTAACTTTTAATCTTATACTATGTAGTGAACAAACCCCTTGACCTATCAAATAATTAAATAAAAATGACAGACTAGAGGAGGCAAGAGTATCATTTGCAAAGAAACATGCCTCCTAATTAATAATGGGAGCATCGTTCATGATATAAAAAATAAATGGGCTTATATTTTATTCTTGATATAGGCCTTATACAACAAGTTAAGTTCAATTGCGTTTTGTCTTTGTATGTCGATGTTAAATCATTTATCGTTTCTACAACAATACCGATCTATCGTTTCTTTTTCTTTCTTTTTTTTTTTAATATTTCTACGACGAAAATTTTAGACACGGTCCTATAAACTACCTGATGTTAACTTATAAAGGAAGGGCGGTTGTTAGCATCATGACTGATTTGTTTCAATAAAATAATATTTGACTCGCTATTTGTTATATTTTTAAATGCATAGCACTTTGAATACGATTTAAAAAAATGCATTTTCAAACTTTTACTGAAATTAAACATTCAGGAGGGGGAGGTGACACTGGCAATATCAGTTTGCTAAATAAGAAATCTAAATATTATCTCTATTTTTTCGCCGTCCTCTGACGATCTTTAAAAAATAACTTCGCAAACAAGGTATTAAAAATACAGTTGTCTCGTATCAAGAGCTCCCGCAACGAGATCGTCGAGTGTTTGCCAAAGAACAATTATATCTTTAATTACCATAAGTTGTAAATGACATAAACATCCGACAAATACTGTACATAATGGTATAACATACAGAAACGTGTTGTATCTTGGCTGATGGATCCCACCTGAGCTCGTTCCCAGTGGGTGTTGAACAATGAAATTCCCGGAGCCTCGCAGTACCGCACGGTGGTGGATTTTTACCTCCTCCTGTAGCCTGAGGGGAAAAAAGATCACATAAACATAGGCCTATTTAGTGGGTTAGACCGTAACTATTAGACCACGGAGGTATTTATTATTGTTTTACACCACATGATTAGACTTTATACTATATAGGGCTGGATAGCGTAATTCTGCTATATTTTAGCCTGTCTAGGCCTATCTCAAATGGAAAACAATTAAAGTAGGCCTTAAGTAATTTTTGGACCAATAAAAGTTTCTTTCTTTTATCTTTTTAAAATTTTCTTGCAAAATATTCAAGGGAAAAGGTCTACATTTCCCAAATAAAAGGACTGTGCAATTTCATATCTACGGGGAAAAAGATGATGTTCACGCGGAGTGGTGCTAATTTTAAGGCATGGTTTCCATGGTATACTGTTACGATATGCTTTGCGTTAAATTATGTTGAGTACAACCTCCCCTCCCCGCCATTTCCCTTTTCCCTGCCCATCATTTCATTAATCTTGTCGGGGCGCTGCTAAGCAGTCATAATCAAACGTCACACCGGAGAAAAGTGTCAGAAAAAAGCGAGCTTAATTAACCTATGTAGTATGTAGGCCTATTCATTGTTCCCTTGACTCACGCTATGGTATACTATAACACAGCAGTAACATCCACCCCCCCCCTCCCCCACTCCTCCCACCAAAACAAAACCGGTTTTCCGTCATTTTGGAAAAGTGAAAGGCCCGCCATAACTTTTATTGGTGGTCCTCTTGTTTTCTTGTAAGAACATATGTTTATTCCATGTGTTGGTGATTGGTGAATACATTGCAGCTTGATCAACAAAGGGACAGAACCCAGCTGGAAGCTTGAACAATACAAGTCTGTATATTTTCAGATGGCAAATCCCTTATTCATTCAGTTGTCGATTTTTTACTTGCTCTCTTATCTGATGGGCCATTTAAGCCTGCAATGTTTTTTCCCAGTTTGTGATTTGCTGGATGTTGGAAAGAAGGCGGGATACAATACCGGATCACGAAAGTCCCAAATAGAATGTATCATTTTGTGGTCAACCAATTATGGACATGGGGTTGCCATTGAAGTTAGGCCACAATAGACGTATAATAACTCCTGACCAGTCGTTTAAAATAATCATTTAATATATAAATATGTAATATATAAATGAATAAATCAATTCGAAATATTCTATTGAAAAATGCATAGTATTATCTTGTCTTGAAATATTTATTAACGCTAATGTTCCTATATTATTAAAAACCATACAATTTGTCACCTTTCATCATAATAGAAGAGTCCATTAAAGTGTTCTTAACTCCACAGAAGACCCAATTCTTTATTGTGTAATATAATAAGATAAGACACAGGCCACTGAAAGTCATCGTCCTGATTAATTTGGAGTTTGGATATCTTTTAAAGACGCTTTTATAAGAAGTCACATAAGTAACAACTCCACTCACACAACAAAGTACCTCGAAGATGGATTCATGGGTGACAGTACCTCCAGGCCTTGTGATTGCGGCAAGCAAAACTTACCCGTTTCCAGGGCAGCAGTACCTATCGCGACATTTCACTCCTCCTGGGTATGACGAAACTTTGTATGGCGTGTGGACTGTGACGACTCTGATACCAGGGGCTGTTATAGAACATTCGAACGGCGTTCCAGTGTTTCATCGCCTCAACTGCTTTAACCTTCTTCAGAACATGGACGTGAGTTGTGTTTCAGTTTTTAATCGTTTTCATTTCATTCAGGTAAAAAATGCAAATAATAAATGCAATGAATGCGATAAATTTGATAAAAAAAATTTCTGTTTTCTAAAATAAAAAAAACTATAGTGTTAAAAGGCGCTAATGCACTTTGCACCTAAATTTTAATTCTTACTTTTTTACCTCAATGTTCTTCTCATATATATGTTTGTTAATTTAGTTAAGCTAAATCATATGATCACTTTAAATAAAATACAATGATATAATTTTTATGATCAGAATTTGAATTTATAAAATATATTTAGCTTGTAAATTAAGTAATCTAACTACTTCTTTTACTTTTATTGTTACTAACCAACCATGTATACAATGTTCAACTTTTTTATTCCTTGTTTTTAATTTGTTAAATTAATACTAATTTTAAATATTTTAAAAAATGTATTTATTTTTAATAGCTATGTACATGTGCTGCTGATTGTTTTTTAATGTTTTCCTTAAAAGTAAATAGATAAATATATACAAACTTTTTTTACTATATAATCTGTTCAAGAGTCATGCAATCAATATTAGTGGATCGTATAATAGTGTAACTCATATTCTCTCTATATCAACCTCATGAGTAGACAAATGAATACACACAATTTGTATAATGATGTACTACTTTTATTTTAAATTGTGTGTAAATAACTTGGACCTAATTACTCAATTCCAATCAAGCGTTTTGATTATATAGTTTTTCACATGCTTTCCTTTTTAGTTGTATTGCTGTGTTTGGGTTTAAATCTATATTTTAAAAACTGTACATTTTCCATATTATTTAGCGCATCCATCAAAGTGCTGGCCAATATAGCAATGCTCAGTGCTAGTTAACAGTTTTATTCACTGCGTTTGAAAACACAGCGACACATGGAGGTTTCAAAATGTTACATTCTTAAGTCTGTCCCGTTTTATTCCCATCTGTATGTATACTGTACAGAAATTATTCAGGTTTTTAAGCTGGCCAAAAGAAAAAAAAATATTGGGTAATTTGGCTAATTCGGTATGAAAATATTTAGCCAAATAAATAGAAATTCGATTAGCCAAAGGAACATAAGCAATGATAACTTCAATTCCATAAACCTTTTTGGCTAATTTTGAATGAAAATAAAAACTTTTATTAGGATTTGGCTGTTTGATAATGACAGCTTAAACACTGATTATTAGTAGCGAATTGTGTTATTAAACTAGGCCTAGAATTAATTAATCTCAAATAAAACATAGTCACAATCTACAAGAAATCAGTAGTGTTCATCACTGTTTTAACTCAAAAACTCTTTTGATATCTTTTAATAATTATGATAATGGATATTGTCCTGTAGACGATGTAACCATTGAAATACCATCATGCATCGACTATACACGGCTCCAGTGTATTTCAACGTTTTATTGTTTAGCCGTGATCCTGGATCAGTAAAACGCCTGTTTATTTTGTTATTAATCCGCCTTCCCATGCTGTCTTGTACCATATTCTCTACTGCAATTGGTTTATTGTCTGAAGACCTACATTATTCTTCTAATGTTAAATCCATTATAAAAGACAAAATCTATGGTTTTATTTTATTTGAAACTAAATAGTGGATCGTCTGGTTTCTAATAGTGATAAGTTTTGTGTTCTGTTTTAAGTACATGCTTGATCATTTTTTTAGTTAAACGACTGAAAAACATTTGTACAAAATTAAAAATTACAATTACTTCATAAAGCAAGGTTTATATAGGCCTAAATGAAAAATTAAAATTTAATTTGTTTTTTTAATGAGGGCATATATAAATTAATGCACTACAGCTACTCTGTAAACCTCTAAAACCTTGTGTTACAAATCATAGCACCGATTTGTCCTGGAGGAAATGCGACTTTCCGAAGTTATCATTCAAATTTAATAACTGATGACAAATATATTATAACAATATAACAAGGTTTTTAACATACCAAGTTAATATTTGTAATGTAACTGTTTTCAATGTTCATACATTTGCTGAAGAAAGAACAGAGCAAACACTGATAGATAAGGTATATATGTACATTGCTTGTAAATTTGCTCTATACCACTCTACCGGTCAAAAATTTCTTAGTATTAACTTCATCAACTATCATTTCGTTTGTCATTTAGACGGGGTTTTTTTTTATAGATTAATATTTGGCTAGAAATATGCTAGTAAATATTCAATATTGTACATTATTAATAGTATAATACAGTTTGTTTTCTTTAAATAGTAAATTTTATTTTTCATTTTTGGATCACACATACATTATTTTGGTAGGTATTCCCTATGGACACAGGATCAAGTCTCAAGTAATACTGTACTAATTAAATATTCAAAATTTCAAATCGGACTACTGTGACTCTGTCGGCGTCTTTAGATGTGCAAATGTTTCACGGTTTCAATATCATGGTAAACGTTTGGGCACACAAGCTTATCATCTTAATTAGCCAATTGTTTCGGATGATGATAAACATCTATTTAATGCTGAAAGGGGTTTCTCAAAGTTAACGAATAAAACAGATTAAAAAAATGTATCATATACAAATGGACTTTTTAATATTAATGGATATTATCCGATAGAAAAATTGTAGGCACAAGACTAAAACAGTTTATGATAATCACAGTAAAAGTTTTAGATATTCACTGCTCCTAAATTTAAAGTCTTGGGAATTTAAACAAACATGAATTGCATAACTTTGTAGGCCTATCCTACGTATAAAGATATTATAGTTTTAAACTGAAAACTGGAACGAGAAATAAATTTCGCTCGCCAATAATTGATAACAGTGAGATTCTTTTAGAATGACGCAGTTAGATTGTTTTTTTGTGACAAGAAGATCTGCCCATCGGATCAGACACAGTTGATTTAAATCTGTGGTTTTTCAACAGAGCTCCGTTTCCGTTTTTATCAGTGGATGTGATATATTTACCCCTGTGATTTATCTCTACTGGTATTCACTCTCTCCATGGTACAACCATAGAGCAAGTTTGGTCTATCCGGGTAGCACCAATTTGTTGCTGTTTTGCTCTACGGATTGTCGTAGACAAGTCTTAGTTTAAAGTAGGTATACCAGTACTTTATATAATATAATATAATATAATACTGTGTAATGAAAACTCAGATACGTAAAATGTTGACTTTAGAAACACTAACATTTGTTAAAACGAATATTTCGGCTTCTCCTGTCGTCTTTCTCGAGACAAAACTGAACATTCTGAGAAAGTTAAGAAGAGGTAAATATACATTTTGAAAAACGATGGATAAGTCCAACGCGGTGTACTATAAAGGCTGAATGGCTAAGATAAACAGTGATAAGGGGGAACAATGAACTGTGGGAAAACAATACTAGTTGTAGTTAGAGGTAGTTATAATTATAATTGAAAGGCACAAGGAGGACTGATTTAAAACCATTAAGAAGGAAGTCGCGATTAACATAATATATTATAGGCCTACATACACTTTACTATCCTGCTCTTTTCCATAAAACAAAATTAAATTAATTCTACCAAGTTTTCATTCAAAGTCATACGAAAGATCAGGCGTTGATCTGTTGAAAGCCTCCGTGACAAATCTACTTGTAGGTAAATTACATATAGGGCGGTGCTTTACTAGTTAAGCTAATACCCGACAATCGGGGATAAGCAGGCTTTCTGCGCAATCACAGATACAAAATGCACAAATGCGTATCACACCATATTGTTCGTGCAATAGCTGTATATCGTTAATCTGCACTCAAGTAAATAAATAAATTAAACAAAGACACTCGTGACACAGGTAAATCATGCGCTGTCTTTTCATCATGTTCTTTGATGTACACCTGCGATTCAAACATTATCTGTTATTTCGTATTCAAGGCAGATTCTTCGTTACCTAGTCATGATGACGTCAGATTAGTGGAGTAAATTATTACAAAGATGTATTGACACAGGTGATTGGTAGCATTTTCGTCTGTTTTAAAAGATCTATATCTTGTAGACCTATGGCCTATGTAATTGTGAGCCTCCGCGTAAAAAAAAAAAAACGATTTTGTTTAACTACATACTGTAATGTAACATTATTAGGAAGACGAATAACCCAGTTCATAAATCTGCTACTCTAATAACAAATACGGATGAATGGTTAAATGGATAAAATCAAGAAAAGGTTTTTATTTTTACTTTACCATAAGTGGTCCTTTTTTCAAATTCTATACCATGCATAGGCCTACTTGTGTATCCATCAGAATACACTATTGCTTTATACACATTTTTTGACACATTGAAGCGTAATAATGTAGACCTTACACTATCAAATATGAAAATTGATATTGCTTCTCTGTTATAAAATTGATTATAAATACCTAAAATATTATTACTAATAGCAGTAGAGGTTTAACATAATAAAGTACAAGAAAACCAGGGCAATACAGCATCTTCCTGAAAGACGAGAGCGTGCAGTATCACCAACTTGATGAAAATCTAAAATCATCGACCGTTCCATTGTTACATGAAATCTGCATGTTGCCAATGAATTTTCCCGAGACCTACTGTAATAAATGATGACATTATACTGTACCGCGTTTTCATTGTTTTCAAATTCGCGTTAACATTTTTTTTAAGAATATTTAATTAGTTATATATAAAAAAATATTTCTTCTTCCTTTTTCGGCCTTCATTGGAGTAGAATGGTACATTAGTAATACGATAGAGAAAATAGAACAGTAATACGAAATTGACTAAAAATAACGTAGATCAGATACGGTAATAGAATAGTGCACCACTGTGATAACAGTCACAAAAGAATAAAAGCCGGGTGATTATTGTAACGACAATAGGGTAGGTCATGGTTCAGGTGTTAGATCGTAATAAAGGGAATTTAATTGTCATGCCTATGATTATATAATTTTATAGAAGTTTAACCATCGTACATCATGTATCGAAAATCATGCAATATGATTTTTGTATTTTGAAGTTATGTCTCTATTGAATTTAGTCAACAACGA